TACCAACGGGACGTTTTAAAGGAAAATGTTCTCTGTATGAGCATCCGGTACTGCTACACTCTGAAATGAACGGAAAACCACACGCTGGTCAATCAGAAAAGAAAAGGTGCGTCGATCAAATTCCAGAAGACGCAATTGGCGGACCTAAGGAAGGAAACAAAAGAGTGACGTCACCAAACCTTCGTAGAAAAAGTAACAAGCATAGACATAGTCCATTTCAAGAACGCTCCATCGACGAAGGAAATAGAGAGTCTCGCTATAAAAGCAAACCATCTGATAGGTTTATCAACGACAGACTTGAATTAAGAGATGTATCCGTATTGAGGAGAAAATCTATGCCGAAGGCTAAAACTCTCTTGTCGTTGGATCCAAGTGTTCCGGCGTCTGGTAATCAAGATGGAGGAAAGGAAGTTGAGAAAGGTTTTCCTGAACAAAACAACGCTACAGAAAACAAAACGAAAATGGAATTTTTTACCACATGCCTAGAGACAAGAGCCGACAAAAGACTTGATATCCAAAAACAGGACAAATCTGTTGAAAAGGCAGGACTGGGTCAGAATGAATCTGAGAAATTCGAGGTGTTACCAACGATGCGTTTTAAAGGAAAATGTTCTCTGTATGAGCATCCGGTGCTACTACACTCTGAAATGAACGGAAAACCACACGCTGATCAATCAGAAAAGAAAAGGCGCGTCGATCAAATTCAAGAAGACGCAATTGGCGGACCTAAGGAAGGAAACAAAAGAGTGACGTCACCAAACCTTCATAGAAAAAGTAACAAGCATAGACATAGTCCATTTCAGGAACGCTCTATCGACGAAGTAAATAAAGAGTCTCGCTATCAAAGCAAACCATCTGATAGGTTTATCAACGACAGACTTGAATTAAGAGATGTATCCGTATTGAGGAGAAAATCTATGCCGAAGGCTAAAACTCTCTTGTCGTTGGATCCAAGTGTTCCGGCGTCTGGTAATCAAGATGGAGGAAAGGAAGTTGAGAAAGGTTTTCCTGAACAAAACAACGCTACAGAAAACAAAACGAAAATGGAATTTTTTACCACATGCCTAAAGACAAGAGCCGACAAAAGACTTGATATCCAAAAACAGGACAAATCTGTTGAAAAGGCAGGACTGGGTCAGAATGAATCTGAGAAATTCGAGGTGTTACCAACGATGCGTTTTAAAGGAAAATGTTCTCTGTATGAGCATCCGGTGCTACTACACTCTGAAATGAACGGAAAACCACACGCTGATCAATCAGAAAAGAAAAGGCGCGTCGATCAAATTCAAGAAGACGCAATTGGCGGACCTAAGGAAGGAAACAAAAGAGTGACGTCACCAAACCTTCATAGAAAAAGTAACAAGCATAGACATAGTCCATTTCAGGAACGCTCTATCGACGAAGTAAATAAAGAGTCTCGCTATCAAAGCAAACCATCTGATAGGTTTATCAACGACAGACTTGAATTAAGAGATGTATCCGTATTGAGGAGAAAATCTATGCCGAAGGCTAAAACTCTCTTGTCGTTGGATCCAGGTGTTCCGGCGTCTGGTAATCAAGGTGGAGGAAAGGAAGTCGAGAAAGGTTTTCTTGAACAAAACAACGCTACAGAAAACAAAACGAAAATGGATTTTTTTACCACATGCCTAAAGACAAGAGCCGACAAAAGACTTGATATCCAAAAACAGGACAAATCTGTTGAAAAGGCAGGACTGGGTCAGAATGAATCTGAGAAATTCGAGGTGTTACCAACGAGACGTTTTAAAGGAAAATGTTCTCTGTATGAGCATCCGGTACTGCTACACTCTGAAATGAACGGAAAACCACACGCTGATCAATCAGAAAAGAAAAGGCGCGTCGATCAAATTCAAGAAGACGCAATTGGCGGACCTAAGGAAGGAAACAAAAGAGTGACGTCACCAAACCTTCATAGAAAAAGTAACAAGCATAGACATAGTCCATTTCAAGAACGCTCTATCGACGAAGTAAATAAAGAGTCTCGCTATCAAAGCAAACCATCTGATAGGTTTATCAACGACCGACTTGAATTAAGAGATGTATCCGTATTGAGGAGAAAATCTATGCCGAAGGCTAAAACTCTCTTGTCGTTGGATCCAAGTGTTCCGGCGTCTGGTAATCAAGGTGGAGGAAAGGAAGTTGAGAAAGGTTTTCCTGAACAAAACAACGCTACAGAAAACAAAACGAAAATGGATTTTTTTACCACATGCCTAAAGACAAGAGCCGACAAAAGACTTGATATCCAAAAACAGGACAAATCTGTTGAAAAGGCAGGACTGGGTCAGAATGAATCTGAGAAATTCGAGGTGTTACCAACTAGACGTTTTAAAGGAAAATGTTCTCTGTATGAGCATCCGGTACTGCTACACTCTGAAATGAACGGAAAACCACACGCTGATCAATCAGAAAAGAAAAGGTGCGTCGATCGAGTTCAAGAAGACGCAATTGGCGGACCTAAGGAAGGAAACAAAAGAGTGACGTCACCAAACCTTCATAAAAAAAGTAACAAGCAGAGACAAAGTCCATTTCAAGAACGCTTCATCGAAGAAGGAAATAAAGAGTCTCGCTATAAAAGCAAACCATCTGATATGTTTATCAACGACAGACTTGAATTAAGTGATATATCTGCATGGAGTAGAAAATCTATTCCAAAAACTAACACTCCCTCGTCGTTGGGTCCAGGTTTTCCGGCGTCTGTTACAAAATCCTTAGGCAGGTACTCTAATGGACTGGAAGAAGAGAAAGTTTTCCTTACACGACAAAGTACTACACACCGTTCAAAGAAAACAATTGATGAAGAAAACACTGAGTTATGTCCTCGAAAAGAACCAGATGTGCGTTCCAGCGTTCCTCTTCCTACTAAAAAACCGAATCGAGAATCACAGAGTGCTAGTCAGTCATCGTTCACTGCGGTGGAGAAATCAGAAATATTTACTACAAAGATTGAAAAAGAAGCTGATAAAAGACCATATAAGTGGATGAACAGAACTAGCAAATATATATCACCTCATCTATCAATTAACGAGGACGAAGAGGGCAAACAAAATAAGTTTAAACACAAACGTCCCCAGTCTACGGTGATGAATGACGAGGTTGACCTTCAACAGGTAAGTGTTTCAAAATACAGCTTTATCTAGCACTAGTATTCTGTTTATATCAACATACACTGTTTGGTTTTATATCAAACCCTAATTTCTTTGTTTATTGTTGTATTTATTTGTAAGTTTTCTGTGATTATCAACACCAATCAAAATATGACGTCATCACAACTATTTCCATGGCAAGAAAAAAGAATATACATCGTTTATATATATATACACAATGTATATATATATGTTTGGTAGTGTTTTGATAATACATGTGAATGAAACATGATGTTATTTTGTCTTTACCACATATAGCCCTGTCGTTTTATAGCAAAACCTTAATAAAACGCCCTCTATTTCAGTAAAATCTTAATACAACGTCTCTCGTGATAGAGTAAAACCTTTATATAACGCCCCTTGTGACACAGTTCAACCTTAACATCCTCATTTAACAGTAAAACCTTAATATAGCGTCCTCATTAAACAGTGAAATCTTAATACAACGTCCCTCGTGATACGGTAAAACCTTTATATCACGCCCCTTGTGACACAGTTCAACCTTAATATAACATCATCATTTAACAGTAAAACCTTAATACAACGTCCCTCGTGATACAGTAAAACCTTAATATAGCGCCCCTCTTTATACAGTAAGGCCTTGATACAGTAAAACCTTAATACAGCGTCATTCATTCTGCTCTGTAGTTTCTACTTTTCGGTAGCAATTTATTTTTATTTTTCCAAGGGTATTCTTAATTTACGAATTTATATGTCAACGAACTGTTAAAATATTAATGGAAATATATGATGTTAAAGTATTATGTTCCTTGTTACGGAGTGTAACCTTGATTTACTGACTCCGTTATACTGTTAAAATACTTCATAAATTTGTTCTGTTGTAAAATGGCATTGATATTTGTAATAAATATCAAACGATTTAAATTATAGCAAAGACATCTTAAGGCATCAATGCAAAAATGTTTTCTAACATCAACAACAAGTACCTTCCATAAGAGTCCTTCTCTTTTCCTTAAACCCTCAATAATGATAATATAAACACATCATTCACGCTAAGACAACCACAAAATTTATATCTAACGACGAAAGCAATATACTAGTGTAACGTCTGTATTCGTGTGTAGAACAACCATACAAACTATATATAGATATAGAGCTGAAGTACATAATTTCTCTCGGACTGAAGGACAAACAGCTCGGGCAGATGACAATAATTGCTTGTACATTATAAACATCGAAAGGGTCATTTTTCATAATCATTTTGAAATCCATATAACTTTCCAAGTGTTCATATTTTGGATTTGGTTGTTTACAATAAAATTGTTTCGTACACACACACACACACACACACACACACACACACACACATATGTATATATATATATCATGAATGCTGTATATTGTTATGAACTTATGAATTATTTGTCAAAAACAATGGAGAGACACAAATGTATATATAAATCAATCTACAAAATGTCTTAATCATAGAATTGAGGAAACCATATGTTCGGAATTTAAATCCAGGGGTATCTGACTCTAGTCATATACAATACCAAACAATACCTACGTAAATCCCGTCTAATGGCCTACTAAAGGCGGCATTTAAAACCAACACACTGAACCGTATAAAAAGACTCGCACCTAAACCAGTAGAGTCGGGATTTTCAATAACAACTTTATACACATATAAAAGAAGATGTGTCAAGTTCTTTTGATATTACGTGGAGCTATATTAGAAAACGAAAGTGAAAGTAGGAAAAACCCAGTACAAGAAATATACCTAGTTAAAACCCTTATCAGTTAGAGCTTGCTAGTCAATGTCAATAGAACGAAGGGTATTTAATGTAACCTGACACATGCGTACAGGTGAATGCGTAGTTGTCACATAGACAGAACGTATATAAACCTGTTGATAGCCGTGAACGAGATGTTGGAGCAATGTAAGTGTAATATCAGATTCTTTACTGATCTTAACACTGTTTTTTTTTGTTTACAGTATATATTGTCTAGATAGGAAGGTTGGGATTGATATTGTATTTTGAAATGGCAGTTTGGATCGATAATGGTAATCTCCAGCACGTAGACTGTTATAATCCAGACAACACACGTGCACGAGTGTGTGACGTTCTGTCAATAAGAATTTGTAACCTATTTAAAGACAGACGTATAGAGTAGTAAACACATCATGTGTAAAGCGGATCGCTTTCCCCAACTATAACCTTCTTAACATATAATTAACAAATCTGTGAACACTGCTCTCTGTTTTCTTATCTAATCCCATCGAGTAAACACAAACCTGCCAAAACCACATCTAATGATGTATAATTCTGGAGTAAGTTTGAAAGATCACCGATGTTTTCGAGGCCAGTTCGTATGACAAAACCTATTAAGTAGTTATTTAGAATGCGTTTGTGCATGTCTGGTCCGGTCGTCAGCAATTATTTAATAATTTCTGCACTATTCTGATAACATAACACTTACCCACTATCAAGAATTTTATTAATAGATGAAATTATTATCATTTGGTAAACAAAGAGATAAGTCTGAATTTGTGACGTCAGCATATTTCGAGGGGAAAACATTTTTTTTTTTTTTTTTTTGCGAGATCCCTGTGATAATTATTTGTTTCAGGTGTTAATTATCAGGCCCCTGTTTTAATTATTTAATTCTAAATTAACAGGTTATATTGTCGTCGCTGAAAATGAGTAAGAGACCCTGGAACAATAAAGAAGATGTCCCGATATCTAAGAAAAAATTGGTTAGTCCAAGTTCTGAGAAATCCCCCGTGAAAGTACCGTGGAATTCCATCGGTGTGTGGCGTTTCGGAGAGAACGATTTGTTCGTGACAGTCCTAAAGGTAAGCTATTTTATAAATATTCTGATCTGAAATGTTGATAGTCTCAGTAAGTACGCCTTGATTTGTCGAAGTAATGTGATTAATCAGTGACAGGAATTTATATAACGCAGCCCCCTCTTATACATTAAACAATTTTTAACATGCCTGATCGATCTTATTTGAGAAGAATTTAAATTCGGAAGAGCTTCAAAGGTCCCCACAATTTACGCCCTTAGTGTCGTCTATAGGTCGAGGGGGCGAGATAGCTCATTCCAACTTCCACAAGAAACAGTCGTATGATGCAGTTTAATTATTTGACTAAACCGTGTGTATCTCTGAATGTATATTTAATGGCTGTACTATCTTGTGTTACTTTCGTACAATTCTTCCTGGTTAAAGATATGTACTTTTCTCCCTCTCTCCACTTGTTATCATTTGACTTTTTTCTAATTGTTAACTAGCTAACTTTTCTTACTCTTGAATAACTTTTCAATGTTTATGTCAGAGGAAACGCTCTTTATTGTTCAATCTCGTGATTTCTCCTGTTTCTCGCATTATTACGTTTTAGTCTTGGAGTGTTTCAAAATGCATCGAAAATGTTCGAAGGGAACTAAAAGAAAATGGCGACAATGGCGTTTTTCAACTTGACCTTTGGGTAAAAAACAGGAGCATCATGTTAGATGACCAGAAATCACTCTCAGACTATCCCGGACTGACAAAGTTGTATGTAGTTCGAAGACCTAAATTTAGAAACGCACCTCTAAGATTCCAAACGTCGGACAATGACGTCACGGATCCTTTCAGTGACGACACTTGTGTTCGGATGGAATGTGGTCATGCGATATGTGAGTTTTATTTTAAACATTTAGATACAAATTTTCACTGGGACTCATATACTGTGTTTTGATACATTACCTTTTTTGGAAGTGTGATATAAATTTTTCTCAGTCAGATAGAGGTGATTGTGATAACTGTCCATAAATTTTACCACAGAATATCAAGGGAATGTTGAAAATGTCTGTTCATACTTTAGATGTACACAAATTTCATTTTGACATCCAGTTCGCGTATTTGTGAAATATCACCTGATATGAGGGAATTCCGGTGTAAATATACGACATATATTTACATAAATCCACAAAAGATTAATCAAATAATTTCACCCAAAGATACCTACGGAAAATAAAGGACACCGTTATGATCTAATTTAGAAATGTAATCTTTAATCATATATCAATTTAGATATGTTTACAAATATTGGATGGTTTCCCTGTTACCAACACAGTTCTCCTTTCAAGAACATATCATTTCTGTAATTACAAACTACATATATTGTATATCGATTTTTGTTGATGATGTTCATTGAAATTACCATTCAGAAACGTCCGGTCTAATTATGCATGTACTTTTAAGGGTTTTCATGAATTTTTGGCATTTTTTGACGATTTGTTTTCCTATAATGAAGTAGAACTGCGAATGTGTTGAAATATAGGTACCTTCTCGTTGTGTTGTATTTACTTCCGTGTATCTGTGTTTCAACAATTACATCTTGTGTTTCAGCACCTGAGAACCTCTATACATATGCTTGGAATAAAATAACAAATGGCGAACTTGAGGTCACGTGCCCTGCCATACCGGACGACAATAGACCGAGTGAGCAATGCGCCAAACTTTGGACGTTCAAGAGCATTTGTTCGCGCGCCTGTCTGTCATGTGACGAGACAAATCTGTTCCTCACAAAATTGTTTTTGAATTGGCAAGATAAGAACAAAAATGTATATTTGTGTCCGAAATGTGATGAAGCCCAACAAGACACATGTGAGAGGAGTGTGGTAAAGTGTCGTTATTGTAAATATTCATTCTGTGTTAGATGTTTAGGATCTGTTGGCGTCATGTTTAAAACTTGTCAAAATTCAGAATGTAAACAAAGTATCCCGAAAGTTAAACAGCTTCTCGTTAATTGTTCAATGCGAACACTTGTTGGTGTTCCGAACTGCCCTTCCGTTCGCGCATGCCCAGTGTGTAACTGTGTCATTGAATACGACGAGGTCGAAAGTTGTAAACACATGACTTGTCCGCGGAAATTTTGTCAAACAAAATTCTGTTTTATTTGTCTGAAGGTGAAGACGGACAAGTATTATTGGCCGTGTGGGGGCGCATTCGACCCGTGTACTCCTGCAGAGATTCAAATAATTGAAGACACATCTCAAGAAAATTAAAAACATCTCATTTTTAAATCATGTTTCAAAAGTCATTTTACCTGAGTATTGTACTGTTTAACTTTCAAAAACAAAAGAAAACTAGGAGTGGTTATAATTCACTTGCACAGTACAAGGGAGACGTTTGGCAAAATGTCTTGTTGATGTGAGGTTCTCGACAGTGATCTTTTTGAATAGAATATTTTCTTTCCTGTTGTTGCTTTGGTTACTTCAGGTATGTGTATTACGTCCTCGTCTTTTTTATGTGAACTATCTCCTTGGCTGATAACATTAAGAGTCTTCCGCGCCAAATCCCTGACGATACTTCCCTATCGGTCTGAGCTCGAAACTACATTTGTACTAATAAAAGCGATATTGGAAACAAAATCTTATCTCTGCGAAAAATTGGCTTGTCGATTTTATTTCTGTCATAAGTGCTGCGAAATTGAAATGGCAAAAAAAAGAAAAAAAACTATGATGTGAATTTTGTTATGAATATCAGTATTGATTTTTTTACATCAATATCCAAACATATCTGCGCATTACGAAATACGTAATGTTCAAAAGCACACCTAATTAAATATTAGAGAAAGTACATATATATTGCTTTTGTTTCTTGTTTCAAACTAGTTTTTCTTCTTTCAGAGTGGTAAATAATGTTTAACATTTACCGTATGTATCTCGCTTGATGTTGGCATTTAAGAAGAAGGGAGGCTACTCTTTAAAAAAAAAAACAACAAAATTCTCTCGTTCAACGCTCAATTTTATTTTTACCGTGGATATGAAAGTGAAAAATAGATTAAGTAGTTAATTTAAAACCAACTACGAGTAAAATTCACGCGCTCAATTACTCATATTAAAACACATCCACTCCAAATCACGCTCATAAAACACACTTTTATCAATTCTAATTAAACATTAAAACTACGGTTTGAGTATTAAATAAATCGTGCATAGATAGAAATATTTTATGATAAAAGAAAATGCATTTGCCATTTATAAACATCAGATATGTATGGTAGATTTTGGAATTTTTGCTCCAAAAACCCTGTATGTTTGTCAATCTCTACTAGAGTTGCCTTCCTTACAATAGGGTACCATTATGGATCAGATCGCATGGTCCTGTTGTTTTTCGGAGAAGTTTTCAAAAAGTTGGAAAAAAACTTACTTAACCATATTTCTAATTTTTTTTCAAACTAAATGTACAATCCTGGTAAATACTAACCGCAATTAGCTCGATGTTGCGAACTTGAATCAAGTGAGTCTGAGGTCCCGGGTTCGAATCCCAGCAGTGGCATTGAAAAAAAAATATAATGACTTCTTCTACACATATTGGTCCCTCAGAACTCCAGCATACGATACGCTGGTACACCGAACAAGTATGTCTTTACGTGTATCGCTAGCCTGTTACGCTTCAGTTGAAAAGTTCTGTAAATATTGCCAGTGTTTTGCTTGTTTGTTTGTTTTCTCTCTCTTAAAATATTGCAATTTCCTATCATTAAAGAAAATATTTGAAAATTTAAACTTCAAGAAAGACACCACCATGTTAAAATTAAAGTAATTTCTTAACCATCTAATATGTCCACGATTTGGGTAAAAATGTACTGTTAACATAATCTATTGCGTCAAGAAATACAAATTTCAACAAAAAAATGGATACTATTATATCAAAATCACAGTGTGTATTCTCCATATCAATATTGCATAGCTTTCCTAAATTCCTTTTCTCTTGACACTTGGTTCTAAGTTGTTTGTTGTTGCTAATCAATAAACAATAGTGAATTTCTGCATATAATTCATTAATACAAATGTTAAAACGACATTTTTTTTAGAAAAAATCACTAAATTTTAAAAGAAAAAGTAAGTTACAAAATGTCAATTAAAAAAAATCTGGTTTGTCGGTTGCTATGGTTTCCATACTTCGTAAAGGCAATAGCTGCAGAAGGTCAAGGGCAAATATATAATGATGGCTTAGTAGGTTTTTTAAAAGACAAGTGACGACAAAACAGCTCATATGATAGGTGCATAATTTGTAGTTAATTCAAAATTCAATTCATAATGCCTTTATCAGAAAATTGTGAATAACAAAATAATAAGCATCGGCATTGTCCGGGGTTTTCCGTAAGACGCATACCGGAAAAGCCTGAAGATATCCGATTGCAAAAGTGAAATGCATTTGTATGTGCTGTTTTAATAGTATTCAATTAACAAATTAGAAAGATAATTGGTTACTTTTTTTTATTTTATATCTATATATACTTAAACTTTTAATTTTGAACCCGTAGATTTGTCATTTGCAAATTGGCCTAGTTAGCACCTGCTTAGTCGACGGATTTGTTAGCGGTCGACATGAAAAGGATACGTTTCCTGGAATGAAGGCACGTCAACCTCAAACCGACTAAATTCAAGCTGTAGAGCCCGGATGTCAGCCTCAAACTTGTCAGTGTAGTTTTTGGCACGCACAGTGTTTCCCTGAAAACAAAGGAGAGTTAAGCAAAACGGAATAAACACCTTCTCGTTTTATTCATATATTCACGCTAAATAAATATTGCGCAAAAATCTCTCATTGTAAACCATCAAAAGGCACATACTCGGCCGAAATTACTGTTTGATTCGACGATAAACCAAGAAGTCTAAAAATAATTGATCATTCCCCTCTTTTAAACGGAAACGAGGAAAGTACATTTAACGAAAATAGATAGCGTTTTATTCACAAACGGATCAGATCGGATTGAGATAGTGATGGGTCAATCATCGGTTTTAATCGATTAGCGGTTAATTAGGCCAACCGGTTTCGATGATCGATTATGGAAAAATTATGATCGATCATCGGTAAAACAGCCTATCGAACGCACCTTTTATTTTCCATACGAACGCACCCACGAAGGGAGACTACTTTTGCGCCACATGTTATCCAAATGGCGGACTCAACGCGGGACTCCTCTCAACAGGAGATTTATCCCCATCCAGGGGGGAAAACGAAATCAGATGTATGGAAATATTTTGGATTTTTTAAGAAGTTATGATCATGCTGAAATTCAGTTTGCTTAAATCTGTAGTTGAATTTCTTCTAAAGGTGTTCGATATGGCGACGGCGGAAGATCTTACGTAACATAATCTTCGTTTAGAATACATTGCAAACCCCTGATATCGACATAATCAAACAAGCTAGGCAATGCTCACTAAAGCGTGTATAAAAACGTACAAGATCGCTTCACTTGAAGGGAGATAACTTTACTTACAAATATTCCTCTAATTTTGAAACGGTTGTGTTCGTTAATTTTTTGTAGTGATAAAATAATTTACATTCAGATCGTTGGAACCTAGTTAAAAGTAAGCTTACAGAAAATTTCTGTTTTTTAATGGCTTTTAATTCATTATCATGTGACATCAAAGATTTGGAAATTAAATCTAACCATATCAACTTCAAGGAAGATAACTCACCCGTGACAAGTATTTCCCTCCCTTGTTAAGAATCTTCATGGAAAATTCTAAACTATGAGAAGATGTCTCTAGGTCATATATATACGCTGTGGAAGACAAAATATTGAAGTCATTATCAACATATGATTGTGTCAAACATACAAACAACATAAGAAATATCCGATGTATTATAACTATTCTATATAACACCCGTAAAATGTTTAAAGAAAAAAAAAATTCATTGTTGTCATAATACTATAACTTACATAACCAAGAGGAATTTGAGATCAAAGGGAAAACAAGTGCAAAAATTTTGAATACCAAAATTTAATACTTAAATGGCCTTTATAAGTTGTATTAACATCAGGCAAATCGTCTTCTCAAATTTTTGTCAACGAAACGTATTTCTTCTGTCAGACCAACAAACTCTATACATTTGTATGTGTAAAGCCACACACTATGCATACATTATGTACATCAGTGTCCATCAGAACGCTTGACATGCGTGCAATAAAAGATTAACTGAAATAGAATAAACCTTCCTATTCTGGAGACAGTCACGTTTGACTGTGCTATTAAGCAGGAACTAGAGTCGTATCGATTTTGTGCTTAGTTTCTCGTCGACAAAGTAAATTCTCAAACGGCAGTTGTTATCAGTAATTCCAAATTCCAGTTATGTAGTTTTTCATTACCTATATTTAAATGAGATAACCATTAAACATACTATCTGAAGAAATTAACGCCGGATAGTTATTCCGGTATTTTCATCAAAATAACACCAACATTTATGTTCAAATAAGTTTAGCTATAATTTCATAGATATTGTGTGTTTGGCATGTTGTGAACCAATCAATCAATTAATCGATCACCCTGATCAGATCAGATCAATCAATCTTTTTCCCATGCTAGATGTCGGCCCCAAGTCTGGTACATGTATTCAGTCTATTCCTTGATCTGGGGTGAAAGTCCACACCTAATGAATATCAGGACGATTTACGAACGTCTTTAGCACAGAAGACAACCGAGACGTTTTCACATGTTTTATTTAGAGGTGCACATACGTTTTCTTTGAGCTTTTTGACACCGTCGCCCGTTAATAACCCAAACTAAATCTATTGCATTTTGTTTTCTGTTTGCTCGTTTATTTACTGTCTTCGTTCGTTCTTGTCTCTCCCGTCCTCTTGGATATGTTAGGGAACAAACAGATACAAGAACACATGATGCGGATTTTCTAGTTGTAGATATTCATTATTCCAGATCAGATGAATACCTTTTTTGTTATTGTACCAAGACGTCGCCGCTTGTACGAAATATATTTCTAAATTTAGTATAGATTTACACAGAATGTGTCTGCAGACGTGAAAATTTCACACTGTATCCGATGAGCAGAAGAAATTAATTTCCTCTATATTGACAATGATTTCTCCCCTGATGCCTACAGTGCTACTTCAATGACGTCTCCCTTGGTATATTGAGCTGTCCGATTGAAATAGTCGTGTAATCTATCATTGTGCACGGAATCGGATATTTCTGCCAGGAAGGCTGTGTGAGTTAGAGAAGGTCGAGAATGTCGGGATCATATAATCGATAAAATACAAAATAGCGGGGGTGTCTGGTAAATATAGCCGATAAACGTGGTTTAAAGTCACAATTTCAACTTACAGTTTTCCGTGCCGACTAAAAACTCTGTGAGGTCATTGATGACGTAATCAAATTTCCTCCCTGATGCAACACTCTCCCGGAGAACGTCCATACAATCTCCAATCTGAATCTAAAACAATCAAAACAATAAACAGATGTTTTTCCAACACCCTTAAGTGGGGCCAGGCAATTTGACCGCTTTGGAGAGGGAAGTCCTGATTTTAAATCTGAGCTAGATGTTTGCAAGCAAGGAAGCATATGCATTTGATTAGATACATAAGTTTCACGCAATCACAAAAGAGTTTGCACAACATATCGCACCCTACACTGAACACACGCACTCAAAACACACACTCAATACAAGCACTCATAACCTGCACTAAACACACGCACTCAGAGCCTGCACTCATCACACGCACACAAAACCTGTACTTAACAAACGTACTCTACACACATATTTAACACCTGCACTCAAAACACGTATTTGACACATGCACTCAACACCTGCACTAAACACCTACACTCAACACAAACACTCAACACACGTATTTAACACCTGCACTCAACGCACGTACTAACAATATGCACTCTACAACTGCACTCAACGCACGCACTCAACACATACACTCAACGCACGCACTCAACACCTGCACTCAACGCACGCACTCAACACACGTATTCAACACCTGTACTCAACACACACATTCAACACATGCACTCAACACCTGCACTCAACGCACGCACTCAACACATACACTCAACGCACGCACTCAACACATATTCACTTAACACATGCACTCAACACATATTCACTTAACACCTGCACTCAACAAACGTATTAAACACCTGCACTCAACGCACGCATTCAACACCTGCACTCAACACACGTATTCATCACCTGCACTCAACGCACGCATTCAACACATGCACTCAACACCTGCACTCAACACACGCACTCAAAACCTGCACTCAACACCTGCACTCAACACACGCACTCAACGCACGCTTTCAACACATATGCACTTAACACCTGCATTCAACACATGTATTCAACACCTGCACTCAACGCATGTATTCAACACATGCACTCAACACACGCGCTCAACACCTGCATTCATCGCTATGGATAACGAATTCGTCCCTAAATGAACAACACTATTGATTAGACATTAAATAAAAAAAAACGAAACGAAATAACAATGATGTAATGATTCACTGGATTTTTTTTTCCAATTTCTCTGATATTTTGAATTTTTGTTTTCACATTGTCATTATCTGAATGATATCACCATCCACATAGGTGAAAAATTGTTTCCGATAAAATCTTCGTGTGTTTTTGTGCAAAATGACTAACAGTTACTAAATTGATATCCTTATCAACGGTCTAAGTATATAGTTAACTGTTCGTTAATCATCACACGATCACTACCTTGTGGTTTGGTCCTTCGTATTTCTCCAGGACTTCGTGACAGACGTCTCTCATATACGTGGAGCACGCTTTGATCACTTCCTCGTCAATCTTTCAGTTGTTGAGGAGTTATAATTAGTAAGTGACTGATTTCTGAGATAATTAGACAGATTAATCACTGGAAAATCGATTGTTTATCGATCAGTTTTAAATTTCCGTGATTGGTCCTTCATCGACTGCATCATTTTATATCATCTTCTATGTTTAGCTATATTTTACATTTACTACTTAGAGGTGTCAAGAATAAAACCTAAAAATAGATCTTACAATATAAAATATTCAAAAAATAAAGCAATGTTAAAGAATTAAATACGATCGTTCCAATGTGACGTCACTGTTACGTCATTGTTGTGTTGACCGAAGGATACCTCCACCATAAGCACGTGTCGTGGCTCCATCTTGAGTAGCTCATACAGGAGACCCCCATCCCCACCTCCGAGAATAAGCACTGTTTTGTCCCGGAAGTCGTTACGCCCGACACCCAAGAGAGTCTGTGTGTATATAAGGTCACTTTCTCCTAACACTGAAAAGTGAAGCAAAAGTATTGGGTCAAAAAGACTGAAGTACTGAAATGTATTTGGACGTTTAACAGACATAAACAATCTGTAGTTATCTCCCTTCATTTTGCTAGCTATAATTTACATGCACAAGCTTTGGATAACGTCGGAACAAAACATAAAATGATTAACTACATCTACTGGTGATTCATTTGCACGGCCCTATACGAGATCATATTTGACTACACTAACATTCATATCGGTTTGTCGTTATCCAAAATTATCAGAAAGGAGAGGGATTTATTAGACAATAAATGACATCTAGCGCGACATTTTTATAGACATGAAAACATAGACAGTTCGCCGTCAAAATTTCTAGATCTGTTTACCAAAGCATTAGCCAGTAACATGCAGAGGAAATGTAAAATAATAAAAACAATGAACTGTCTTGTTACATTTATAGCCGATATGACTGCCAGAGCTTTACATGTAAACAAACGCTAAATATGTAACTGCATTCTTTGTCATTTATTAAGACGATAAGAGCGAAAATAAAATGCCAAGATATCAATACAGCCATAATCCAAACTCAAATTCCCAAAAACTCGGGCAAAATATGAACAACAGGATGATTTACACGTAGACCCCTGAAAAAGTAAACGGAGAACCAGACCAGGTGTTTCGGAAGAATAAGCTTTTGTGCTTCATCGATGACACCAGCCAAGTACACGCTACATCATTACAATCAAACATTCAAGTAATGCATTCCTTTATTTTCAACGAAGCACACCACCGTATATTATACATTTAAGGAAAAGAACACATGTACAACAGGCGGAAATATACGTCAGGATTAGCTTTTATTATTTTGTGAGAACGCAGCACAATTCTTTAATTACCTCATATTATACAATAAAAGACATAGAAAGTGCGAATGTCGTAAACAGTTCTGCTTGCGAGATATTTTTTACTTAAGGGCGATCGCCTCAAGAAGAGTAGCCCACATCTGTGACGTCACAACTTCAACGATACAGTGAACATGCGGTTAACAGACCTTAACGACAGGCCTCCCCAAATCCCCAGATTCAGCAGTGGGTAGGATAGTCATTTCTGTTAGCATATAGTACGAAGGCAAAATACATGCCGCCAAGTTCTGCTGGTAGTCAAAGCCCGTCAACACAACAACGTCTACATGCGTGATCGATTAGGAATAAATGAACTCACTTGTGAAATGTGAATTAAAGCTACAAGTTGGAACTGGTAACATTTTCTCCCGCGGTTTATCGATACGATGTGCAACACCCCGGCTTATTTATTGACCAGACAAAGCCGTATAAATATTTCATCTCAATAGGAGTAGCGAAAATTGTGCCACGTTTAGATATTAATATTTACTATACATATATGTACCTAGTATCGACTAAAATTGTCCCAGAGGAAAAAAACAGGGAATAGTCATTTTTATTTACGACCGCCTTCGGGTTTGTTGTCAGAATACAACTACAACATATTATAATAGATACCACACACTATCTAAAAAAAACTCTCGCCCAATGTACAATGAAACTATTAGGTCACGTGACTTTTAGTGTGACGTCAACGATCCCAGCACGGAAAAAACGATTTTGTTGTTCTAAGACCATCCCAAACAGCGTTAGGTGCGTAAAGCAACATCAGTAAAATTAAAAACATGAATGGCTGTAACAGGGTTTTTCAGTTATTTATTTTTTCTGTTTATTTAAATACTTTCTAATAAAAAAAAATCTATTTTGATATACATTTCATTAGAAATAAAGAAAATTTTAGTTTTTTTTTTTTTTTTTTTTTTTGCAACAGCAACCTTTCTAAGATGCTGGGATCCATTTCTTGTTAATGATCTTTACAAAAATTGGGTGAAAACTAAAAACATAATCACTCTTGTTGACTCAGATGGCAACTTCATGCTTTTTCACTTCCGATCTAGGAATCGTACCTCGGTCGTTCAGTGGAAGGCTAACTCGTTACCTCTCCACCACCCAACCATGAGTTTTGTTTTTTTATAAACAAGGAAACAAGTCTGAGATATTATTTTATTTAGATATCATCAAAAAGATCATTTTGAAACGGATTTCACGAACAATATCTAAAATGGATTCGTGTTCAGAATCACTTTGATCACATGACCAATAAACTCGGTAGATATTGAAGTAAACACCTTCATCCTTGTCATATCGGCTCCATAAGGTGGTTAGCGAATATGTGACGTCATTTCATTATCTAGTCATGACCTCACAATAAATCATACATCATGGGTTTACACAGAGATATCATCACGTGATTGATACTTACTGAGATCATCATCCAAACACAACATGTTTCCAAACTTCTCCGAGTGGTAGATTTTGATGTTCTGCCATTTTGATTCTTTCTCGCAGACTAGTTTCAATGATCCGTATTCAAACAGAAGATCCTCCCCGGATGAGAAGTAGGGACACACTTCGCCGCGACAGATCTGGCCAAGGATACTGAAAGAGACCATAATGACATAACAAACTTGATAACTAAGGTATTGTTTCTTAAATTCACTATTACTAATGCCTTTCCGTAAATATACATACTGAATGTATCTCTAACAATCTGTATGTATTAAAAACATCTGGTTCTGCGTTCAATTAATCATAAATTTAATTAAAAAAATAGTGTATTTTTGTGATAGGTTACTAAATTTCGCCCCAATTTCAATTTGAGAATATTCATAGTTTTATTTACGACTGAAAACATAAATATTGTATTTCAAAGAATGCTGGTTGCTTTCAGTTGATATACAAATCTGAAGATTTTCGAAAACATGCAGGCTCATAGACAATTACTACAGGAAGTGACACTCGATATTGATTTAAAACCACCTCAATTCTCTCTCGTTTATACATGTACGTATTTTAAAAGGGACGACTTCCGTCGTGATGGATAATGGATGGACTTTGTTACAGACTCGTCTCGCTTCTGATGTAATCGAGGATATGTGTATCTATCAGATCAAAGGATGAAAACAATGCTTTTGGATGATTGACAATGTTGTATATTTCAACCATGTATTGCTGACAATGTTGTATATTTCAACCATGTATAATTGACAATGTTGTATATTCCAACCATGAATAATTGACAATGTTGTATATTTCAACAATGTATTGCTGACAATGTTGTATATTTCAACAATATATTGCTGACAATGTTGTATATTCCAACCATGTATTGCTGACAATGTTGTATATTCCAACCATGTATAATTGACAATGTTGTATATTTCAACAATGTATTGCTGACAATGTTGTATATTCCAACCATGTATTGCTGACAATGTTGTATATTCCAACCATGTATTGCTGACAATGTTGTATATTCCAACCATGTATTGCTGACAATGTTGTATATTTCAACCATGTATAATTGACAATGTTGTATATTCCAACCATGTATTGCTGACAATGTTGTATATTCCAACCATGTATTGCTGACAATGGTATATTCCAACTATGTATTGCTGACAATGTTGTATATTCCAACCATGTATTGCTGACAATGTTGTATATTCCAACCATGTATTGCTGACAATGTTGTATATTCCAACCATGTATTGCTGAAAATGTTGTATATTCCAACCATGTATTGCTGACAATGTTGTATATTTCAACAATGTATAATTGACAATGTTGTATATTCCAACCATGTATTGCTGACAATGTTGTATATTCCAACCATGTATTGCTGACAATGTTGTATATTCCAACCATGTATTGCTGACAATGTTGTATATTCCAACCATGTATTGCTGACAATGTTGTATATTCCAACCATGTATTGCTGACAATGTTGTATATTCCAACCATGAATTATTGACAATGCTGTATATTCCATCAATGTATTATTGACAATATTGAATGCTGTACATTTCATCGTTTACTACACAATATACATAAAATGATATGTAAATTAATGTAGGCTTTCATGTACAACCGTAATTAAAAGGGCTTCATGAAAAAGATCTCAACTATTTTTTATGACTCCAGAACAACTAAATTGATTCTAAAGCAATCAAATTGATTCCTTAAAAGCTATATGGTGTTTTTAACAAGTACACAAAACAAATGAAGATGTTTTCCAACAATTATAGGGATTCCTTGAACGAATGTACATTTCTGATTTTTTTTCTGAATTTGTGGATTACAGAATAAATGTAAGGACTCCTGGATAACTTCGTAGATTATCGAACTATTATGAAATTTGAGCAACACTACGGAATCCTTAACAACTGCACACATCCTTTAACAACTTCACACATTCCTTAACAACTGCACACATCCTTTAACAACTTCACACATTCCCTAACAACTGCACACATTCCTTAACGACTGCACACATCCTTTAACAACTTCACACATTCCCTAACAACTGCACACATCCCTTAACAACTTCACACATTCCTTAACAACTGCACACATCCTTTAACAACTTCACACATTCCCTAACAACTGCACACATCCCTTAACAACTTCACACATTCCTTAACAACTGCACACATCCTTTAACAACTTCACACATTCCCTAACAACTGCACACATCCCTTAACAACTTCACACATTCCTTAACAACTGCACACATCCTTTAACAACTTCACACATTCCTTAACAACTGCACACATTCCTTAACGACTGCACACATCCCTTTACAACTGCACACATTCCTTAACAACTGCAAACGTCCCCTAACAACTGCACACATTCCTTAACAACTGCACACATCTCTTAACAACTGCACACATTCCTTAACAACTGCACAAATCCCTTAACAACTGCACACATCCCTTAACAACTCCACGCATCCCTTAACAACTGCACACATCCCTTAACAACTTCACACATTCCTTAACAACTGTACAAATTCCTCAACAACTGCACACATCCCTTTACAACTGCACATGCACACATTCCTTAACAACTGCAAACGTCCCTTAACGACTGCACACATTCCTTAACAACTGCACACATCCCTTAACAACTGCACACATTCCTTAACAACTGCATACATCCCTTAACAACTCCACGCATCCCTTAACAACTGCACACATCCCTTAACAACTGCACACATTCCTTAACAACTGCACACATCCCTTAACAACTCCGCGTATCCCTTAACAACTGCACACATTCCTTAACAACTGCACGCATCCCTTAACAACTGCACACGCCCCTTAAAAACTGCATACATGTGTACGTACATGTTCTGACATGTTAAGATCTAGGAAAGACTCCATTCAGCAGGAACAGGAAAAATTTAGTAGATCATTTTTTTACCAGAATGATTTAGAGGAAATGTGAACCTTACCTGCGACTAAACTTGCATAGACTGCCGAAATATTTCTTCAGTTTCACCTCCAAGTTTTTCACTACCTACAACCAAGTTGGCAGAAAATTAATAATAATACATTTTTTTAAAGATCATTCGATTCGATCGAATGACCTTTCAACATCAACGTCTGGTTTGTTCACAAATCACTACATATTCTTTATCTGGTCGGGTTACTTGGACTATCAGTTACGTCACACACTTAAAGGAAGTCTAACCAATCTATGGTATGGTAATATAACAGTAACATTGTATGTTCCATCACTTAAACCATAATACTTACTGCTTTATTTCCATGGTAACATAATACTCACGGCTCTAACTACATGGCAACATATAATATTCACGGTTCTATCTCTATGGTAACATAATACTCACGGCTCTATCTCCATGGTAACATTATACTCACGGCTATATCTTTGTTATTAGGTGTCGACGAGTCGCCCTCCACTAGTCGTTGTACGTCTACCGTCACGAGGCCTGTAGGATACATCCTCACTGTCACGTGACTATGATAAAAAAAATAATGTACGTTAAATACCGAACACATTCTAAATCTTTTTTTTAACGTTTTTATGGTTTTTACAACCGTTAAATCGTCACTTCCGGAATTATATTGTGGTGGAGATTTTATTTGTGCCTCTTGTTACAGTACATTAGATGTACATCGATACGTCATTAAGTATATGTACAACTTAGTACGTTACACGTTTTTGTTAAAGAGTTTTCTCCCTTTTGATATTGCAATATTTGCATATAGTACTTTAATTTCATAACTAAACATAACCGGACCTAAAGGCGTATTTTAAGATATTTCTTCGACTGAAAAATAATTTTCGTAAGACGATATTCAGTTATGTTTGTGTATAAATTCAATGTAAAAGCCTCGTCTTGAAATGAAGAATAGGATAAAGTTTTGACATTTATCGTTTATTTTTTCAATGGGACGGAATGCCAATTTCTGAAATATTATTGAAGACAAATTACGTCAATATAAAGACACTTTCATATAATTTTACCTTCCATCTTCAGACATTGCCACGACCATATGGCCTTGGGATTTCCCAAAATTCCGTGTGATGACGTCAATTACAGGGCCGGATAGACACATTTCCGGTACACCCTTGAGCTTGTTTAGCACATCTATGGTAAAGTAAAATAGTATCGTATATAGCACCGTGAAATGGTGTGTACAGTGTTATCTTAAAAGACTAGTCTTTTAAGTCAGCATTCGTGATTTACCCTCAAAAGTATTCAGATAATGTCATAACGTGTCAGCTATCACGAAATTCAGTCAAGTTTTTATCATCTATACAGATAAAACTTTAACAAAATATCTCTCGATATCGTGTTGTTTGTTTCTATTAAGTAAAACTTCAATATAAATGACTTGTTTATATAATAAGCTTTGATATAACGCTCCTTGTTTACATACAGTAAAATCTCGATATAATGATCCTCTCTTACATACAGTAAATTCTCGATATAATGTCCCCGTTTTTATATAATACAGTAAAATTTCGATATAATGCCCTTATTTACATACAGTAAAATCTCGATATAATGCCTCTTGTTTACATACAGTAAAACTCCGATATAATGTCTCGTTTATATACAGCAAAACTCCAATATAATGTATCACGTTTATATACAGTAAAATCTCGATATAATGTCTCTTGTGTACATACAGTAAAACTCCGATATACTGTCTCTCGTTTATATACAGCAAAACTTCGGTATAATGTCTCTCGTTTATATACAGCAAAACTTCGGTATAATGTCTCTCGTTTATATACAGCAAAACTTCGGTATAATCTCTCGTTTATATACAGCAAAACTTCGGTATAATGACTCTCGTTTATATACAGCAAAACTTCGGTATAATGTCTCTCGTTTACATACAGCAAAACTTCGATATTATGTCTCTCGTTTATATACAGTAAAATTTCGATATAATGCCCGTTGTTTACATACAGTAAAACTCCGATATAATGCCCCTTGTTTACATACAGTAAAACTCCGATATTATGCCTCTCGTTTATATACAGTAAAATCTCGATATAATGCCCCTTGTTTACATACAGTAAAACTCCGATATAATGTCTCTCGTTTATATACAGCAAAACTTCGGTATAATGTCTCTCGTTTATATACAGTAAAACTCCGATATAATGCCCCTTGTTTACATACAGTAAAACTCCGATATAATGTCCCTTGTTAACATACAGTAAAATTTCGATATAATGCCCTTATTTACATACAGTAAAATCTCCATATAATGCCCCTTGTTTACATACAGTAAAACTCCGATATAATGTCCCTTGTTTACATACAGTAAAACTCCGATATAATGCCCCTTGTTAACATACAGTAAAATTTCGATATAATGCCCTTATTTACATACAGTAAAACCCCGTTATAAAATCCCTAGTTCGTACACAGTGCACCTGTGAACAGACTGCGCGACATACGAATCATCATTAAGTTGAGAGGTCTAGACAGAAAAGATGTCGGCGATGTGTGTCATTAGAGTCATTTCGATAATACTGGTATCATTTCTATAGATAAATAAATGAGGGTAAATACATTATATATATATTGATACGGCGTACGTTCCTTTAAACAGCTTTAAAACGAATTTTATTGCTGACTGGGAATGTCAATTATATAATAGAATTCGTAACGTGTGTTCCTAATGAAATAATGTTTGAGCAGTAGCTTCTAACGTAATTAGACATCATGCTGAAGGTCTTCAAGAGATGAACAATCCTAAATGCCCCCTCCCTCCGACACACACATACCACCAACACCACCACATACACACAGAAACGTCATTGACATTTAAATATTTAATAGACCACTATCTCTAACGCTTCAGTAGCTAAGCTACATACATTGTACATATAATGTTCAATGATTGATGTTTAAAAAATTGTTTACCCGTTCGCTTAATAATGAATTTGTTGTTATTTACTCAAAATTCACATAAACACTAACACAAACTTTCGTAATTGATGGGCCGTTTCGTCGAGAAAGAGTTTTAAATAAGCACACCTATTTTGTGGTTAACATGAATAATTATAAGGTAGATACGAATATCATTCCATATCTATATTTTGTATATAATATCCCGCGGTGGTAGTTTTCATTACACGTAAATCAAGGACAATACTAATTCAATCTCGGGTCCCCGGTCTGATATCCCACTGCGCGACTAACTAGGCTACAGAAGCAAGCTCCATCACTGTGTCAGGGCGACCATATCTACAAGCCACACCGACCCACTTCTTTCACACCATATTAAATTTGTACTATTCCCTGTGATTGACATTAGCAATATTACCATACTCATCTTTAAAATGGTATACATCATCACAATACCCTGTGCGATAATAAGCAATTGCTCAATTCGCTGTGGATGTATTTGAAATATGATCTGCCGTGGTACATATATACCATTGCATACACTTGTCAACACAAGCGCGTACTTGTCAATATGTACATGTAAAACATGTGCAGTTTGTGCCGTATGAACGTGCACTGTGTGACACCGAACACTGCAGTGAGAGGGATAATTATACTGCGCTCGTTTTATAGACCATGATGTGTAGCATCCCATAAGAAATGCATTAACGACAAATTCTTGTCACTAGGACAGGGAAATTATCTCGACGTTGGGAACAGAGCTGATTCGTGTGATGATACAAAGGGTTACATCAGAAAAACAACTTCTATAAAATACTGTGATCTAGGTTCGTGGTAATTAGTGTCTTGTTCCTGTGATGTTTACATACAACGTACGTAGATTATCACGATACAAAACAAGCTCATACGTGTGCTTTACTGGACCTGAAATAGGTTGAATGGCATGTACGCATTCGTGTGTCGGTGTTTACATGTCATATATCCGGATCTTCGACGATTAGAATCTACGCATTGAAAGATTGAGACCATCATATCACTTAAATATTTAAAAACATTTCGAATAAAAATATTTGTCTTGTTTGCAAATCAATGAAATATATTTTGATTTTTCAGTAATCAGCTTCTTAATATATTTCTGTGTAAAAGTAGACTACTCTGTTGTTTTAAAGTTTAATTCGTATATTTGAAGTGAATCCTTATATGTAAGATACCCATAATAAAAATGTACGTGCTGTTCATTTAATTATGGGACATTACGTGATTCATTTTTCACCTCAGTGTTAAGCTGACAGTACATTCACACTTCACTTTTCACCTCAGTGTTAAGCTGACAGTACATTCACACTTCATTTTTCACCTCAGTGTTAAGCTGACAGTACATTCACACTTTATTTTTCACCTCAGTGTTAAGCTGACAGTACATTCACACTTCTTTTTTCACCTCAGTGTTAAGCTGACAGTACATTCACACTTCTTTTTTCACCTCAGTGTTAAGCTGACAGTACATTCACACTTCACTTTTCACCTCAGTGTTAAGCTGACAGTACATTCACACTTCTTTTTTCACCTCAGTGTTAAGCTGACAGTACATTCACACTTCACTTTTCACCTCAGTGTTAGGCTGACAGTACATTCACACTTCACTTTTCACCTCAGTGTTAGGCTGACAGTACATTCACACTTCACTTTTCACCTCAGTGTTAAGCTGACAGTACATTCACACTACACGTTTAATGTCAATATAGAGCTGACAGTCCACCCAGATATGGCGTTTTACAGTAAAACTGACTGCAATATATGCTATATCTTTATTCGCAACACCTTCTTTTGTCTTTAGAAATGTGGGCTAATCGTGAACAGCCCAGGAATCCCTGGTTGATACAGGGATGATCTTGTTATACCATTGTCAGTATAATGTAATCGATTGTTTAAATACTGTACCAAGGTTATGATAGTTCAGTATGTTGACACTATAATAGCCGTGTCTTACGTGGACAATGTCTAACAGTTTCCATATCAAGTTTCACTGACGTCACGTCACTGACTCGTTATATTAACAAAACCTCTCATCAACGTTTGTTCATTTCACAGAAGAATCTGATTTTTTTGTAATTCTTTCATAAATAACTGTTTACTTGACAAACTTCTTTTAACCCTAGATTTTTTTCTGACGATTCAATGGAATTTAATGTAAGTGTTATTTTTGGGTTCACGATCTGCTAACGTCAACTTTCTCAGTTCACTCATATCTGAATAAATGTGAGCCACACATGTGACACGCGCAAATTACAGCAGAACAGCTCGACATTCACTTAAATTTACTGTCAAAACAGAAAACAATATTTATAACTGTTTAATACAAGTATATCTTATCGAAACATTGTGTACGAGTAGGAAATGCGATGAATGTGATATTTTGTAGTTACTGTTATATAACTAAAGAGAAAGAGGTTTTGACTCAAGGTACGAGTTGCTTTGACATGACCGTTGCATTACAACGTCAGTATTGTGTGAGGGAAACAGTGAACACTCTGCATTAAAAAATGTCTACTATACATTATCAGTGTAATTTTATGGGGTTTTCTTTCCAAAATCTACGACTTAGATATTCGCATGTTGTCTTAAGTACACGAAGATGGCCATTCGCTCAAATGAACGGTCACAGCAGTATGGTCAAGGGCAAGTACAAAGAAAAACACATTTATGACATCATGATAAAAACGTGTATTTCATGACGTAAAAAAGCATTGTATTGACAATGACGTGAAGACCGCGATCGATTAACTCCGGTCATTTTCTTTCGGGATTCTTCTGCTAAACTTTGTAAACGGCACGTGGGACTTTTCTAGGATTCCACCAATTTCAAATTGGTTGAAGCAAACGACTCTTTTAGAGTTTGACTGGTCATCTTTTATTTTGTGTTTTAACTATGTACCATATTAGTATATCGTGTTGGACAAACTCCGTCTCCCTGACTTATCTCCCTGACTACATATAAAATAAACATACACGGGGACGAACAATCAAACGCACACGACATGTTGTCACGGGACATATTCATTCTGAGGTTATATTACCATAAATATCTTAACAGTCACACGAGTTTCACATATAAATCAACACAGTATTTTCCTTTGTCAGACAATCTGCTTGATTCAGTGAGAGCAGCGGTCCGTAAAAATCAATCAATTATTAATTTGGCGTAACTATAATATCACACCTTATTGTTCAAGCTTGAATGCGTTATCCGTGTTGTACTTTTTGGTATCATTGCACCGTGTAGATGTTTGTGATGATTTAAGATTGTAAATGTGATTTGGAGGGAAAAGTCTATCTCATATACATTTTCATATATATATATATCGACATTTCAGATATTTTATTTGACTTCTGATTTTTTTTAAATGTCCAGGATCAACAGAATATCCTAATTCTTGATGTTTTTCTTTGATTTCTTCCTGACTTCCCTTTCTGTCCATTTCCGTTTGTTTACGTACAGGAGTGAGAGAGGGTGTTAGATAGAAAACATGTATCTGGTTCTCCTTGTTGCATGCCGAATATCATATGTTTTGACTCAAAATTAAACCGTGGTTATGATTTCTACATCCAAGTAATATTAATGAAACAATTTACCATCATTTTACAGACGAAAAGATACACATTAATTTAAAGTGTATCTTCAGTCGGGTAGCAAAGCGATTACGCACTCGCCTTTCACCTATCGAAGACGTCTCGGGTTCGATTCCCAACTGGGCGTGAAAAGTATGGGGTTACCTAATCGACCACGTGGGTTTTATTTAACTTTCTCCCACTGTGTGCTTCAATCAAACACTCTTTTTAACCACAGAGTTAAAAAGAGTGTGTGATATATGCTCATCGGCTTGTTCGCAATTATTGTTAAATAGATAAAGCTTACAACGTAGGGTGTTTTGATGATGTCCAATTTTAGATAAACGTTTAGGTCATGGTTGTTTTACGTCCTATAAACAACCAGAGTCATTTACGGACGTGACAGGTTTGGATGGTGGAGGAAAGCTGGAGTTCCAGGAGATAAACCGCCGATCTGAGGCCAGTACCTGGCGACTGTCCCACCTAGGTCTCGAACGCACGACCTAGAGGTGGAAGGCTAGTGATAAAGACAGTCAGACCACTTACACTTTTGGTCATCGCGACCTATGAATGAAGACCTAACTTATAACCTTATGGGCATTCACGCAGTTACATAACAATTATTTCGTGACTGCTTTATTAAGATCAAAGATCGACAGGCTGATTGACAAAGCCATCAGCAAAGGATATGATCTGCTTTAGTTTCTAGTTTTATTTTCGAATTTGATATTGTTCATGTACATTTCATTGCCGATTAGAAGACATTATTTACAATTGATAGGTATCCACAAATTTGCTTTTATCACAATAAATTGACATTCGAACAAACATTAAGATAAAAATGTTAATATTTACCGTCATCCGATGTCTGTGTTTCTTCCAGCTGAAAGCAAAGCATGATGGATTTTGCGGACATGGTCACCTTCGGAAAAACTTGACACTTTCACGTGAAACAAAGGCATCAACACGAGGGGCTCCGTGATCTCTTCCTTCCTTCTAACAATTAACGTTTGAACGGGTAAAGCTTTATAGACCTGTATACTCTCCGATGTGTTCTGATGTTACGAATAGAATGTTTCTGATGCTTTGTGGCTAAATATATCGATGTCTCAATCCAATCTAGATCAGTGTTGATAAAATGTTTCCGTGTCCATAAAACGCTTGACACCGTTAAAAGCTTCAAAGTCCTTATTTATTGGTTCCTTACAAAGCTCTTGACACATTCGCAGACATCATAACGTGAAGCACACGTCTGGGATTAGAGTTAATACCTTGTATATATATCGGTATGTTTACAATGAGACTCAACCTGTTAGATGGCTGCTGCACCGAACTCGCTCAGCCGTTAATACGGATACGACACAGCATAATACACACCAACCACGTAATAATAGATCTAGATAGCTGTGCCAGAATCGACAGTCTACCACACGGTCGCCATATACCTACAATATCGTTCAATACCTTCACTGTCTACAAACAACGTCCGCCGTGTTGTCGTTTTCCTTCCTTTAAATTCCGTATTTGCGTTGTGCTCGATTGAAAATATTCTCCTTCTGTAACGGGATCGAACTCCAGGTCTAAGCAACAGTAACTAAGATTATCGTAAACAACGTTGGATTCGAATTCAAGCATTTATGTTCCTCTTCGTCGTCTATTTGCGTATTTTTGAAAATATCGTTTTGTGTTTATACATCTACGCCGGAGCGGAATTTAGTTAACAGCGTAGCCGAGTCCGTACACGACAAGGTTTATGACTGTGTGTCGATTTTTTTTTTAAACGCTCGTTCCTTTTTTCGGTGTACGACTGTGTATTCACACGTTAGCAAAGATAAGTTTTAAAAACAATGGCGAAGACTGCTATTATCGATACAAACCTGTAGTTGATATCAGATCTGATAAGACGGTTCCGTCCTGGAGATCATGCGTGACGCGACCTATCAAAACAGCATTGTTTGGACAATAAAGACGCGTTGCCTGATTTTATAAATAGATTTTTTTTTTAATTTGATGCCTATAGGTAGATCAAAGTTGATTTATTAACAGAAAAAATGCTATCGAGTAATACATTTTGAGTCTGGAATCAAGGATTTTAACATGTGCAACATACAATTCTGTGTACTTATCTAAACGTGTCCACTGAAACTGCTATTTTACAAACATGCACAAATTAATAATCAGTTATGGTTCATGAACTGTTAAAGACAATATTTCAATTGACGAGTATTTGTCCTTGTTTTTAATTAACAGTAAAGGACCAGAGTACCTCTCCTAGGGATCGAACCCGTATAACCAAAGGGGAAAGGGTTCAGACAGATGCATATATAGATCTTACCGGGTTCTTACACTGAACCCAAAATAGTCCGAAGGCCAGGTGTTCGGAAAACTCGCAAACCCGACGGAAATGTTAAGGAACGGATTTCTACAAGGTTATTTATACTCGTCAGTTAGGACATGTGAAGTGTATCAACGATTTGTCTTAGTAACCAATAAAACAAAACAAAACAAAAACAAAAAAAAATCATAAATTACACATTGAACGAAAACTGCAAATTTATGTTCACGAACCAGAAAATTCAAACAAGTGAACTGTGATGTGTTTCAAAAATTTCCCTCGAAGAGATAAAAATAACTACATGACACTAAGCGAAAAACACACGATTCTGTCTCTTATATAACTCAGATTTGATGTTATGTTAGTTTTGACAAGCAAGAAAGGTTAAAATCGGTGATGATTCAAAAACTTTTGAAAACCATGTTCACAAGATATGCTTTTTTTTTGTTATTCACCGATCAAACAAGCTGCTGGATCTGTTGTGTAGCAAGAAATTTGTCAAGAATTTGTGGTTTTTGTGTTAAGAGTTATTGCAATGGGTTCTATAGAGATGAAGTGAATACGTGTATAAAAAGACACATGTATACACTTTATGTACGTATAATTTGACAAGCTGGTCGCGTGTACAGTAGTAAATGCAGACAGATAGAGTCTTGATACATACCACAGATCTTCCAGGAGTTTAACATTACGGGTTATTGAAACACGCACAAGTCTATTTTGAAAAACTTTTAATGAAGAAATGTTTAACCTCGCTATTAGATATGGACTCTATGTATGTATACAAGTAAGTAAGTTATTATCATTATTATTACAATCTTAACGGCCCGTCAACACATAAAACGTCATCAGGGCCATCAACCGGTAAAACACAAACCGATCCAAGAAGGAAATGACATCAAACAAACTTAAAACGTAAAAGTAAGTAAGTAATTTTAGATTGATATACTACTTAAATCGAAGGATTCAGGAGTGTGCGTATCTACAAACACAGACTTCAGGCCTGGTCTAATGCCCTTGGTTTTTTTATTTTACACACACAATATAAAAATCCTGTCACTCATTCTGTCTTTCTTTTATGTATCTTTCATGGTCTGATAGATCTCCACAAAGGATCGGACTGAGATTCAATACCGATCTTTAAAAATACTTAATTTTGAGTTCATAATAGTACGGTATACTGGCATTGTATATCTAGTAGTGAGCTGGGTCATGTTACTGAAATTCATTTTAATTATGTCAGTATTCAAATGATTCGGCTATCACAATAAAGTTATCATGGAATCAAATTGTAAGATGACAAATCACGTAGATCATATAAGTAAAATATATATTATCAATGAGCTTTCCCTCGCGTTATATGATATATAAGATATACCCATTAGCGACGTCCATGAATTAGAATATTCTTCCGATCTTTGAATATTGCTGTGAAGTATGTTTGTATTGTTGAGATAAGACATTGGAGAGAAAAATGGCTTAACCTGCTTGATCTACTTCCTAATACATCCTGCCATTGAAGTATAGGAATTCATCATTTTGAAATATCTAAATATTATATCACTTTTCCAGTGGTGATATAACTTTCGTAATTTTAACCAATTACAGTGGTGCTTCCTGATGGTGCTTTCTGATCACTGCATTGAAATTCGTCCATTTTCTAATCTCGTTCAACAAGACTCTTTTTGTCTGCCTACGTTACATCAACGGTGTTAACACCTGATCAAGCGGCTGGGTGATCGAGACTACCAATTTTCCTGTTCCGACGCACACGATGCGAAGGTTGAATAGACTGGTTTTCCTAAAAAAAATCCTGATGATTGTTAATTTTGTCACTGAATTAGAATCCCCCAACCCCAACCCCCGGAATTTGGTATATAAACACAGTTTTGTAACCTATTCTTATCAGATAGCAGCATAAAAACGTAGATTAACACGCAAAGCAAACAACTGAAAAAAGTCAAACATTCTGACGCCAATGAACGCGTTAACTGTAATACTTACGCTGAACAAAGAAACTTGAGTTATTGATCGTTCGCTTAATACAGGTATTCATCTTATCGTGAATCTACTTCTCTTTTTCAGACGTGCAATATAAAAACAAAATAATGCAAAAACATTATATCAGCTGTACATATTTGTGTAGATTGATTTTGCATAATTTCAGTGGATAATATATAGTAGTGTGATAAATCTGCCATTTTGAGTTTGGTTTAAATGGTCGGTTCTGCAGGGAGATACTTTCCAGTGTTTATCTAACTTGTACCTAATCCCTTGGCTATGGAACGGCAATAAATATGTTTAAATGACAAATCAGCCGATCACTTACATATTTTACAGTTAGATAGATCAATGCCGAGACATAAAGAGAGAAGCCGAGACATAGCGACAGACAGATGCCGAGACAGAACGACAGACAGATGCCGAGACATAAAGAGAGAGAGAAGCCGAGACATAGCGACAGACAGATGCTGAGACATAACGACAGACAGATGCCGAGACATAGCGACAGACAGATGCTGAGACATAACGACAGACAGATGCCGAGACATAAAGAGAGAGAGAAGCCGAGACATAGCGACAGACAGATGCTGAGACATAAAGAGAGAGAGAAGCCGAGACATAACGACAGACAGATGCCGAGACATAACGACAGACAGATGCCGAGACATAACGACAGACAGATGCCGAGACATAGCGACAGACATATGCCGAGATATAACGACAGACAGATGCCGAGACATAACGACAGACAGATGCCGAGACATAGCGACAGACAGATGCTGAGACATAACGACAGATGCCGAGACAGAACGACAGACAGATGCCGAGACATAACGACAGATGCTGAGACATAACGACAGACAGATGCCGAGACATAACGACAGACAGATGCCGAGACATAGCGACAGACAGATGCCTAGAAATAACGACAGGCATATGCTGAGACATAACGACAGACAGATGCTGAGACATAACGACAGACAGATGCTGAGACATAACGACAGACAGATGCCGAGACATAACGACAGACAGATGCTGAGACATAGCGACAGACAGATGCTGAGACATAACGACAGACAGATGCCTAGAAATAACGACAGGCATATGCTGAGACATAACGACAGACAGATGCTGAGACATAGCGACAGACAGATGCCGAGACATAACGACAGACAGATGCCGAGACAGAACGACAGACAGATGCCTAGAAATAACGACAGGCATATGCTGAGACATAACGACAGACAGATGCCGAGACATAACGACAGACATATGCCGAGACAGAACGACAGACAGATGCCTAGAAATAACTACAGGCATATGCTGAGACATAACGACAGACAGATGCCGAGACATAACGACAGACAGATGCCGAGACAGAACGACAGACAGATGCCTAGAAATAACGACAGACATATGCTGAGACATAACGACAGACAGATGCCGAGACATAACGACAGACATATGCCGAGACATAACGACAGACATATGCCGAGATATAACGACAGACAGATGCCGAGACATAACGACAGACAGATGCCGAGATATAACGACAGACAGATGCCGAGACATAACCACAGACAGATGCCGAGTCATAAAGAGAGAGATACATAAAGAGAGCGATCACTAGACATGAAGATTAATTTTCCCGCCAACGCCACAAAAGGAGATGGACAGAATCACCTAACATTTATATGGGGTGTTCTGGTGCTGTT